AAAGAATCTTTGTAGTCACATTTTCCCCATAAAATTCTGCAGCTTGTCTTCTTGGGCGTGCATCTCCTTGGTGTTCTGGGAGTGTGAGTCCTTCCGTCAGGAGACCTATTTCTCCCAATACATTGTATATCGCTGTTACTTAGTGGTTTTGTTGTTTACAAAGTAAGCTGCAGAGAGGAATGAGAGGGAGTGAAAATCTGATTGCTTTATGAATTTTTACCCAGATATCTGTTACCCTCACAGGCACTGATGATCAACAATAGAATTAGACTAACTGCTAGCCATATATAACGGCTCCTGCTCCTCTCTCCCATCCCTTGACCCCCCATTATTAAATCTTACTGCACTCCCCTAACCAGTTTGGCTCAGTGGTTAGAGTGTTGGCCTGCTGACGGAAGGGTCTCAGGTTTGATTCCAGTCAAGGATATGCCCAGGCCAGGGTGCGCAGGAGGCAGCCAATCGATTTGTCTCTCTCTCTCCCCCTTCCACTCTCTCTGAAAAGCAATGGGAAAAAAATATCCTCAGGTGAGGATTAAAATAAATAAATAAATAGAAGGCCTTGCCCGGCCAGGCGTGGTTCAGTGGTTGAGCGTCGACCTGGGATCCAGGCGATCGGGGTTCGATTCCCGGTCAGGGCACATGCCTGGGTTGCAGGCTCGATCAATGACTCCCTCATCATTGATGTTTCTATCTCTCTCTCTCCCTCTCCTTTCCTGTCTCTGAAGTCAATAAAGATATATTTAAAATATATATATATATAGAAGGCCTTGTGGCTTAAAAAATTTTTTTCTTTTAAATCTTACTGCACTAGAACTGGTAGAGGGAAATGGTGACCTCTCTGAACCCTGCCACCTCTTCTCCATTCCTCGAGGTGCCATTTGATAGACAGCTCTTCTCTATATTCTAGATCATTTCTCATACCATCAAAAGTACTTGTTCTGTACTCTATTCCCACAACATGGTGGCAGCGTCACCCTCTGAGTAGCTTACCTAGGCAGAGTCTGAATGATTTAAAGTTTTATGTCTTCCAGGAGTCTGTATTTTTTTTTAATGTCTTTATTGATTTCAGAGAGAGGAAGGGGAGAGGGAGAGAGAGAGAGAGAAACATCAGTGATGAGAGGGTCATTGATCGGCTTCCTCCTGCACACCGCCCACTGGGGATGGAGCCTGAAACCCTGGCATGTGCCCTGAACATAGGTCAATGCTCAGACATTGAGCCACGCCAGCCAGGCGGGAGTCTGTATTTTAATGAGCGTTTATTGTGCTGTGAGTGGTGTATCTGCTAAAAAGCAGATATTTTAGAAGAGGGAAACCCTTCAACACCCCTTAGTAACTGCAGATAAGCATCTTCCTGATTCACTAGATTGCAGGGAGGCCAGTAGGCAGTAGTCCCACAGGCAGAGTGAAAACTGTCTTCTAACTTTCTGGGAAGTCATGGTCTTTCAGTCTTAACCCACAAATCACGATGAAAACCGCAGTAGAAAGCAAAACTGATAAATTTCAGAACTGTTTTTTCTCCTATGCTCCCCCCCACACATGCACATTTATCCCTCTTTCAGCCATGAACTACATGTTTATTTCTCGTGTTTAAAACAAAAACAACTTGAAAAGTAAATGTATTCCAATACCGCAATAGAAGAAATCTCTATTCCTTCCTCTCTTTTCATACTCTGGGTGTATAAAGGCAACATTGTTTCTCGACATTATATTATAGATAAATTGCAGTCAGAACTTAAACAGAATTCGGTTTTGAGTTTGGGGGTTTTAGGGAAGATCTTAGATTCAAAACATCTATGAGCATTTGTTTTCTTATTTGCAGAAATGGGAATAACAGCACCTACCTCATAAGATTATTGTAAAGTTAATGAAATAAGATCATGCATTTGAAGAGCCTGGCATAGTGCGTGGAGCATGGAGCTGAGTAAATGTGATCCCCTTTCTGGTTTCCTATGAAGTGGCCAACTAAGTGGTTAAGGAGTTTAGGGATGGTTTCATGGAAGGATGATGTTTGAACTAGTTCTTCAAATTTAAGCATGGGTAGAATGAGGGGCATGTTTAAAGTAGATGAATGCAGCAGAAAGCACTGGAAGGACCGAAGCCTGGGGCCAAGGAGAACCACCATGTGCTCTTTGCAGACAGCTAGGCACCGTGAAGGGAAGGAGTGAATATTAGACACGTGGGGGGCAAGACCCAGAAGAGTTACTGACTGACTGGATTCGGGAATGGCCGAGCTGATGTCTCGCGGACCTCACGCAGGTGGAAAGATGGACAGTGTTGCTGTGCCGTCGAGTGAAAAAAGGGACGTGAAGGGGGGACAGGAAAAGATGTGTTTGGGGTTCTTTGGGATGGGATTCAGAAAATAGTGGGCACGAAGTGACATTTAACTAGATAAGTATCTTATTAATAAGATTCTACTGTATTTAAGTTAAAAGAGGAAGAGATTAAAACTTTCATGGGATTTTTTTCTTTTTTAAAATATGGAATGTTTCACGAATTTGCCTGTCACCCATGTGCAGGCGCCATGCTAATCCCTGTTTCATTCCTATTTTAGTGTCTACTATCGAAGCGAACAGACTTGGATGGGACTTGGGGCGGAGGAAACCTAGGAAGGAGGGATGGGCATCGTTGACAAAGATGCATTAATTACCACCATGTCATTAGATAAACGTGCTAGGATTAGGAAGGGTTGAGGACTGAATATTAAACGTGATGAAAGCACTTGGTTAAGGAGGGAGAGGAGGAAGCTGAAGGGGCCAAGAGCCACTGACAGAGTGCCCAGAGGTGGGTGAGGCCCAGGAGAGAGCAGAGGCAGAGCGAGGTGCTGTCACTTAGATGTGGAAGTGAAGAGTAGTGTCCAGTGTAGCAGAGAGAGCAAAGAGAACCCAACCAGAAGGGAGTGGCGCGGGCTGAGCATCAGTGCTGCCAGGGCCTTTTCTGTTTGCCCACTTCCCACGCCTCCCTCTCGTGACGTCTTCATCTTTCCCATCATTAATGTGGGGAGCACAGCCCAAAGGTAGAAGGCCAGCCCCTGACCTCTAAATTTCCTTTTTTCTGTTTGGTTTACAAAAGAGCATGAACTCTGTGACTTCAAGCCAAGTCTCTTAATCTTTGTGACCCTCAATCCCTTATCCTAAATTGGAGTTATACCAACTTTCTTCTTTACTTTTGGAAAGGTATAAAGCAAAAATGCAATCTGAAAGCGTTTCAGCTAAAACCTGTACAAATGATAGAGTGCTGGTAAATATCAAGCATGTAAATAACCTAGGTAGATAAATGGTTGCTAAAAAAAGGTGGTCTTTAAATCGTGGTGTGTATTTTTCTGGTTTGCAGATTTTTTTTAATTATTATTATTTTTTTTTGTAAGCTCAGTGACCTGTGTTAATGTTGTTATAAATACTCAGAATCTCTACAGGGAATTAAAGGTGTTTGTGCAGCATTATGCCTCTTGGATGTGATTGTCATTTGAATCTTAAGTTGCCTTTACTTTCATGCCTACTTAGTAATCATTTGATTACATGATTACACAGAGAAATTTAACTGAGGGAAAGAGGTGGCTTAAGCCAGTTGTTTTATCTGGATAAATATACTTAAGCTTCTTCAGTGCTTGAAATAGAAACCTACAATACTCAAAATGGTTTTAAATGCTACACAGATAGTTTTCATTTTCTAAAACTTTTAAGACTCTTTAGTCCTCAAAATCAATCATGAGAAAGCAATATTAGAGAAAATGTGAAAATTTAAAATATGTATATGTAAATACATATTTATATATGTATGTGTGTAAAATTTTGGAGCTCACCCTATATAAATCAGGAAATGAGTTTCAGATACATGAAGTAAGCTATGTGCATTTCCCAAAGTCCCCATAAATTTTAAGAATTATTTCTTAAAGCTTTTTTCCCTCCTCAGTTTCTAGAAGATAAACATAGATAGCAGTTGTTTACATTGCTCTCTGGTCACTGTAAAAGGGTCTAGAATTAGTACATATATTTAAACAATACTGCCATTTCATTTCCCGTAGCAGTGGACTAAATTTTAATGTTCTGAATTTTTCCCTTCTTTTCCCCAACTTCGGTTGTACATTAAGGAATTTGAACACATTTCTCATTTTAAAAAACCATATAAAATTAATGCTTAATTCCTCATTCATTTTTTTCTATTCTTGATTGTCCATTTCTTGTACACACGTGCATACATGCACATTAGCAAGTATACTATTATTACTGAGTTAAAAGAAGTGTGAATAAACATATTTATTAACGGTCATCAAAATCTTTTGTATAAAAAGAGCTGTTTTAAATTCATCAAATGTGGTAAACATACACCTGCACATTCACCTTTCTGTGATGATCTAGAGCATGCAACCAAAACGAATGGGTACAATGCAGGCAGTTTTTCCCCTCATGACCAGTTTTAAAGGCTGTGTGGATCATAGTACTTTCCTTTATAATTCTGTGGCCTTACATTAAGTATTATATTCGACCACAGACATTGTGTTACTAGAAGAAATTATTTATTAATTTTATTTTTATTATTTTTACTGATTTTAGAGAGGGGAAGAGAGAAATATTGATCAGTTGCCTCCATGTATGCCCCAACTTGCAACCCGGATATGTGCCCTGACTGGGAATCGAACCCACCACCTTTTGCTGTACCAAAGGATGTTCCAACCAACTGAGCCACCCAGCCAGGGCAGACATATTTTTTTGAAGAGCTTACATTCCACTTTTTTTTTCTTTTTTTTTTTTTTAGTCTCAGGATTGTCAGGAAAGTACCTTCACTCCTCAAAGCTAAACATCAAACTATAATTCAAAGATTCCAATAGGCCTAGCCATTCCCTTTTTTAACTTCAGTTTTGAGTTTAGAGTTCTCATTTCCTGCCCCCTAGTAAAGAACATTTTGTACTTTAAAGTTTGCAGATGTTTGAAAAGAATGTGTGCTCTCTGGACATTAATAAGGGTTCCTTGATTATAACTTTTCTTTTCCTTTTTGTCTTTCAGATACGGGAAAATAGTCTCCACGAAGGCAATTTTGGATAAGACAACGAACAAATGCAAAGGTGTGTTTCCTTCGCAGATTTGCTAAAATTGTAGCTTTAGAAAAATGATGGAATTTTAAACTTGATCTTTGGTTTCAAAACTACCTCCATTTTATTAAAAACCAGATCTTACGTGTCACCCAGTTTCTGTCTTGCACAATGTCAGCATATTGCTTACGTTTGTCCCTGGTCGAGCTTTGGCTGGAAACCCAGCAGCAGCTCACAGTTTGCCAGAATCCCAGATTTGACGCCAGCAGAGTTAACTTGCAAAATACTGGTTGGCATTTAGCCCCTACTCTTAAAAGGAGAGTAGAGTTAGAAAATAGCTTTTCTTTGCTGAGCCTGAAGAGATTAGAGCTGCTCACTGAAGCCCACTGGACTGGACTAAAGAACTGAAAAGATTACATATTGTGCAAATTGGCTCTATTAATTAGAATAGAGTAGTTTTAAGCAGTACTTAATTACATGTTTCAATACTCCCAATTGTTCTCTGCTGAATGCCTGTTGACAATATTGGCAGCAGGGAGGAGAGAACCATTTTCGCTGACCAAATTGTAATAAGGAGGGGAGGTCATACGCCCCTTTGAAATATGCTGCTGCATTAATTTGATGCACTGACCTTCAGTTTTCTGTGTAATTAGGATGAGCTCATCCAGCCTCATGAGCTGGAAGAAGAGGCGTCTACAGTAGGCAGCCCTGATGCTCCGTGTTTCTGACTTTTAATGATCCAGCATCTTAACAATAGGCATATGATTTCTAGGAAAGGGGAAGGATGGAGTCAGCCGACTTTGAGTCTAACGACTGACCCCATGAATTGAAATAAGGTTGACAGGAATAGGCAGAGAAGGCAAATCTCCTCGTTAATTAGACCCTAGTTTTTCAAGTAGTGGTCACGGCTGTGGCTTAGCACAATCTGAAAAAGGCAGAGAGCGTAAATGAACCCTATGGTAGGGCCTCGCCTTAGAAGCCAGCCATTTCCTTTAATCTAGACTTGAAGTGGTTCATTGTATTTCTGTCTCTTCTTCAAAGCTCCTAAATTTAAAGGAGTTATTGTTGCAAGTATCTAAGCCCATGTTTAATCAACGTGACCCATGGAAGCAGTTTTGCCCTGGGACAGTGAATAGAGCAGCTTTCTGTAGAATGGTACTCAATAAATATTTTAAATGAATTCAAGGAGAGAGTTAAATTCTAGACTGAAATGTTTACACTTAGTTGCCAAAAGTAGTCTTATTTAACATATTTGTAAATGATTTGGGAGAGCAGGGACACAGAAAATGGATTCTTGCACATGAAACAGGGAGCTGATCTCAAAAATGAGTTTCAAACCAAGAGAGAAATCACAACAGACAAGTAGTTTTAGAGTCTTTTATAGTCTTACCCTACATTCCACCCCATCCAAAAAAAAGAAAGAGAAAGAGGGAGAGATCTTACAGTGTGTTAAAAGCAGAGTTGCTCTAGATAAATGAGGGAGAGGACCCAGAGGCCTCCCTGGTGAATTCCCTAGCACAGCCCTACACTGCAGACTACTACTGTACACTCTCCTCCATTAGGAACCTCTTTGCTAGAAACCAAAATTCCCCAAAATGCTCAACATAGTCTGGAAAAGGTATGACCATAAAAATACTAATGCTAAATCTATAGTCATAATAAAAATCCATAACAGTTGGAAAGGACCCAAAGATAAGTGGAGAGATTTGTGGGGCTTTGAAATATAAGGGTAGGGAATAATTCAGATCTGATTTTCTATGCAACATGTATTGAAACCTTTGAAGTACTGTCATGCGTGTGTGTGTTTAGGATGGTGAGGATGGTAGAAATCTTTCAGGACTCTCACACAGGCCTCATGAATAGATGTCAACAGATAATCTGGTGGGTGTGTGGGTCAGTGAGAGTGAGGAGAGAGTATACAAGAATGGGTTTATAAAATCTTGGAAGTGAGAATGAGAGAGCTCCTGAAAAAATAACAGTAATAATTTGAGAACAAATGAGAAGAAATAACACAACATATAGCTCATAATGAAGACAGATAAGATGTTAGCCTTGTTATAGATAGCTTGAGAAGGTCGGTAACTGGATGGATGGATGGATGGATGGATGGATGGATGGATGGATGGATGGATGGATGGGTATAGATAATGCATAAGAGTATTAGTCTAAATGAAAACTGCTTGTGTTGTTTACTAATTTTTTGAGATTGAACAGGTCAAATAATTTTACACCTGGAAATTAGAGACCTTAGAGGTCACAGATCATTTTTTTTCACAAAACGTATTTTGGAGCATTTATCCAAGAGAAACAAATAGACTGAAAGAAACATTGCTCTGAATAACATGTACCTTAGTTGTTAAATTTAAAAATTCATGATTCAGTTCTTCTCCATTTCAGTTTAGCCAACAAAAGGTATTTAAATGTTTTTGACACTGGTACAATAGTTGCCCTTTATCCATGGGAGATGCCTTCCAAGACCCCTAAGTAGGTTCCTAAAACTGCAATAGTACTGAACCCTATATGTGCTATGTTTTTCTGGTATATACATACCTTTCATGAAGTTTAATTTATAAGTTAGGCACAGGAAGAGATTAACAATAACTAAAAATAGTATTTATAATAATATACTATAATAAAAGTTATGTGAATGTTAGATAATCTAATAACTGTGTAATAGTATATACACCGTGGATACCCTGGACAAAGGGATGATTCATATCCCAGGCAGGATAGAGCAGGACAGAGTGAGATTTTGTCATGCTTCTCAGAACAGCTCATGGTTTAAAACTTTTGAAGAGTTTATTTCTGGAATTTTACATTAATGTTTTTGGACCACGTTTAACCATGTGTAACTGAAACTGAGGAAACTTAAGGTTACTACAGAAATGGTCCTGTGTTTCCTGTATGCCACAGCAAAAATAGAAACATAGCTATTCCCATGGTTCAGTCATCACAATGTGGAGGGAAATCCAGGAAGCAGGAGACCTGAGACCTGAAGAGAATCCTCCTGGAGATCCAGAGAGAGGATGCTATGTTACCTTCAAAATTATCTTTATACATATTTATATAATGAAACCCATAGAACCTGTGTAAATCAGTTATATACTCTTAGTTTACTTGAAAGTAATAGAAGAGAAAATGAAAGAGCACAAGGTTGTATGCTTACCTGTTATATTTGTTTTCAGCACATATTTATGAAACAATTGGAATGCGTTTGGAAAGACCAAAGAAGGAAGTAAACAATTAACTAAAATTCAACCATTACAGATTTTTCCTAATAAGAAAATAACAGATAAAGTAATACTAATAGTACCTTGAGTGGATAATAACTTCAGCTATAATAACATCAAAATTGAATCTTCTGTTATTGTAATTTATTGACAACAGCAAAATTGGGGGGGAAACTTAAATATCCACCAGCAGGAGTTACATCATTTTAGTGGAATGGAGTGTTCATTTTTGACCTTCTAAAATTGTGTTTGGTAATAAAAAATATATGTGAATTAGAGAGGGAGTGTGTGTGTGCCTGTGTGTCATCTCCAGAGAGAGTTACACTAACAGAAGATTTGTGGAAAAAGCCAAAATATATGTAACCTAATTTCTAACTGAGCAGTTGAGTAACATTCTCTGCTTTTACCTGGATCGGCCTCTTTTTCTTTCCAACCAGGCTATTCTTATTTCAATCCAATTCTGAGCAATAAAAGGAAGCTGCTTCTTGCTTCAGCTTTAACACTCATCTCTCCTAAAAGATATATTTCTATAATAAATAGTTTACTTCATTTCATTACAGCTTATTTTGTTAACAATAATATTTTTGGTACTAATATTGCGCACTGACCTACCTATTTCTGAGCCTTCTGTTTGGTCTTGTTGCTATATATGTCTGTTTTGACATGAGTCCCTTAACACTCTAAATTACTGTATCTTTATAATACCTATAAATAAGTGATAGGACTGGCCCCTCTTCTATGCAACTTCCAAACAGTGCTTTTCTTTTTCAGAATATTCTTTTCATTTAAAATTAATTTAAGCCCCTGCCAGGTAGCTCAGTTGGCTAGTGTCATCCCAATATGCCAAGGTTGCGGGTTTGATCCCTTGTCAGGAATAGGTTTGAGTTTCTAGAAAATCTCTGTTGGAATTCTTGCCTGATACCCTGATCTTTTAAACAAGGTGCTAAATATAATTTAACCTTTTCTCAGTGACTTGAGAGTTATCACAGTGAAAAATCAGTGATTGCCTATTTTACTACAGTGATGCTCATGGGATCGGGGGCTGTTGCTCTTAAGCAGCATAAATTCTGTTTTTGGTATAGTTTTCCTTTTTTATTGCTTGTTATTAGTTTTCTTTGCTAGATACCATCCATGAGCTTATTTTGTAGCAGTCCTACCCTCATCCCAACCCCTTTTTTGTCTAAATTGCCTGGATTTGATTTGTTGTAGCCAGGGGAAATAGCTGACCAGCTTGTTAAAAATGTTTGTAAAGCTTTGGATAAATAAGCTTTGAACTAGGGCCTTTCTTAGAAGGGTATTTGATTATTGGTTTATTTTGTTATATTTTGTTTTTAGACTTTAGGATATGAACCACAGAAACAGCTATTTTGGGTATCTAGAGACATGTTTTCCTCCCTTTCTTTTGAAAGGAGATCATGATGAGCTGTATTTTAGGTAAATAAGTAATGACATTTTTAGCCAAGTACTAAAATTTACATTATTTTATATTTTGGATATCTAATGATTATACTTAATTTATTTGAAAAATAAAGTTTAGTCTACAGAATAAACATAGTTTTGTTTCTGTCATTTGTAAGCTCTGTAGATGACTTCATCTTTCTTTACCAAATCATTAAAAACGCTACCTCTCTGAAGTTGATTTTTTTTTTTTCTTTAACCCTGGTTGGTAACTTAGATGTCATTTTTTGTCAGTAAATATAGGACCCCTGAGAAAAAGATCTGGAAAGGAGAAAAGCTGGTTCTTTACTTTGAAGGGAAATTTACCTGGCCCATGATAAACAACAGGGAAGGACACCTGAGGAGGATGCCTGCGACATTGCGGCTAAAGTTGGAAACCTGTCTGATCAGCAGGGTTTTCGTTTTTTGTTGCCTGCATCAGAAACCAAATGGAGTCATTCTTTCCCTCTTTATGTAATCGAACAATAATGGCTTAAAAACAAAGTGTGTTTTGCATTGCAGGTTATGGTTTTGTCGACTTTGACAGTCCTGCAGCTGCTCAGAAAGCTGTCTCTGCCCTGAAGGCTAGTGGGGTTCAAGCTCAAATGGCAAAGGTAAGTTGAGAGCCAGTAATCGCTTCTCTGGTCGCTGACTTAGGTTCTGAAGCCTGATACCATTGCCTTTCTCCCCTCCATCCCAACTAGCCATGGTTACTTCTGGACACTTAATCCATAACTCCACATCCTTAATAGTAGTATTAATGCAGTGTAAGCTATAGTTGCTATTTTGAATCTGTACAAAAGTCAGACATTTTTAGACACTGGTTATTTGTGAGATATAAATCTACTCTTACCTATATGAGGAATATTGTTGGAGTGATTATTTATGCCCTAGTCTTGACACCTAAATGTAAGCTTGGGTTATATCATACCTAGCACCTATAGTACACTTATTATGACATTCATATAATTATGTTTTGGTGTTTTTCCATTTGTGGTCCTGGAATTGCTGTGGAAAATATTTTCAAGCCTGAAATTCAGCAGTTTGATACTTAGTACATTCTTTTCAAAGGGTCAGTAATTTTATATGGTCTGTCTTCTTGAAGTACAGAGGAAGGGAGTTTTGTGCTGTCCGCTGCTCCTGTAAATAGTAGCATGTGCTCATTCCCTGAGGAATTATGGAAAAAAGGATTTATGGAAGTTCAGGGGCTCTGGTAAAGAGAGAAGTTACCCGCTAAGAACATAAGGAGTCTGGAGGGCATATATGCAGCTACCAGGGCAGAGCTTTACGTAGACTCAAAGAAGCAACATAAATAAAGATTTTAGGAATTAATGAAAGGTATCACCTTTCTAAAGTAGTTCTTGACTTAATATTTGTAAAGCTTGGGATTGAGTTGGACTTATTTTGGATTTTCTTGAACTCCAGACTAAGAAGTTAAAATAAACAGAAACTATAAATATTAAGCACCATGATTTTCAGATTATTTGTCCATAACATAGAGCAGTTTCCTGTGACATTGTTGGAAGACAATGACTATGAGGTTTTAAATCATGTAATTGTGAATGTGCAGTACCTGTACTATATAATGATTTATAGAATGTTTAATTTTTCCTCTATGATTTATAGAATGTTTAATTTTTCCTCTACTCTGTCCATGTTTAATTCACACCATGAAGCTTCTGCTTCCTCCTCTCATGAATAAAATCCAGGGCAGGTCCCATGACTTTTCTGGCCACTCTCATGATTTTAAAGAGTCCCTTAAGTTGTTTCATTCATTTCAGGTCTTTCTGATTAATTCTTTTTGGTAGAACGCTTCTTGATTTTTCATATACAAACTTCATGGAACATAATTATCTTTGAATACGTTTTCCGCTATTTATATATGTATTTATACCAACTTCAATAAAATATTTTAAACAAGATGTCATATGGGGAAAGTCTCAAGTTACATTTCAAGTACAGTTTGTTAAGTGCCAAAATCATGTGTAGATGTTTTAAAACTGCCGAGTCAGCTAAAAGGATGTGTGTCTTGGATGTTGCTGGTTCTAAAAGAAATCACAGTTTACAAAGCAATTGTTTGCTCAGGAAGCAATATTTTTAAAGGTTTACATCCCAACAATCATTTATTGCCTGTGTGTATACACACTGAGAGAGAGAGAGATTTAACAAATGTCATTGGTTACATTTTAGGAAATAGTAGGAAAACAGAAATATAAATAGTTATATTTTAGGAAATTGGGGGTTGTAATTAATGTGTTATACATTATAATTTTTTTCCTATTTGAGATACTGTGAACGGGCTTCTAGTTAACATTTTGATGCTGAATGTTTGATTTTCAAGAACATACTACTGATGTTAAATGTGTGATGCCTGTAATTTAATGTCCAATCCTATTTATCTGACAAAATTTTGAGTACCATATAATGGTAAAGCTTTTCCCTTCCCCTAGCTAAGGTCTGCTCTGAGTAGTAATCCTATAGTGGGATGGGAGTATGGTTTGTTTCTTTCCTATTTCCCAAACTTTTGTCTTTCAACCCACTCTTTCATTAGCTCACTAGCTGTGGTTTAATATATGGCAATGTGAATTTTTAAAACCTTATAGTATCCTGATGAATCCACTAGAGGGAAGTGGACGGTGATGGGTCCCTTACCCCCTCCAGGGTGGAGCAGTAGTAATGGATGAGAAAGCTTCCTGACCTGACAGAGATGTTATCTGGTGTTGATTTCTCTGGCCAGACAGAGAACCTCTCCAGAACATTCCACCCTCATACAACTCTTTGGGAGTTTTTCAGAGAACTCTTACCACCATCACCACCCCAGTTGATCTTTTCTCTGTGGCCTCTTAAAGCTAGAGAATACATATCCTCAAGCTGCTAGCCTCAGCTCCTAATAATCTAAGGGTCTGTCTTCAGCCCCTTTCTCCTGGGACCTCCTTGCCCTTCAGGACTGCCTTCTTGGGAGGCTCGAACACAACCTTGGGCCAGCTCTACCTTGCGTGCCCACATCTGACCTACGTTTTTGCCAGCTATCCATCCATAGGATAGTAGTTACTTTCCAACTACATTTATTAGGGCCCTTCAGCCAGCCTTTTAGATTCCTCAAGTTCAAGTTGGACACTGATCCACCGTGCCCCACAGAACACTGATCAGGCCTCCCGAGTGGTCTGTTGAAGCCCCTCTTGCTTGAATGGTGGTGACAGGGAAGCAGCCCCCATGGTGAGACCCAGACTGTATCTGTGTCTCTCCATTGCCATGTTCATTCTCAGCCTCTCCAATATCTCAGAGACAGACAGGAGGTGGGTGGTCAGCCAAACATCCCAAGCCAGTTCTCAGCCAGCTCCTACACAGGCACTCTTTAGGCGACCTGGTTTCTCACCGAACATGGGAGTGTTCACTGACACTCGTTGCTTTGTGTTTGAGGCCTGTTTTACCAACCAGCGACAAATGTGGAGGCCTTATTTAGACTGGTCCCATATACACTTGCCTAGCACCTTTTCAGTGTCTATGCTGATAAGCAGCAGAGTTTATTAAATATACTCTGTTTTGAAGAAGTCTTTACAGTGCACTTAGTCTAAACTGGACGGGATATAGTTTGGCAGTAGTGGATGTCGAGTCAGCTGTGTACTTTGAACGCCAGCTTTCCTGTGAGTTGATAATGAACACTGTTCGAAGACCTCCTTGGGAGGCTTGGTACTGTAAGTAGGCTAGAAAATGATCGTTTCCCACATCAGCTATAGGGAAAGAGCAGTACACGGGGTCAGAGACACCGGCGGTGTACCAACATTCTGCACCTTATGAATTTTTTCAGGTCTCTGTAGGATGACTGAGTTTCCTAGATCTGATTTCTTTAGTATTATATCATCAGAGTTACAGAAGGTATTTTAAAGGCAAGAGAGTCCATTGTTCTATACCACTGAACCATGGATTTGAGTATCGGGAGTTGACTTAGCCCCTTTGTGTTGCCTGGGTTAAAGGACACCTGACACACAGTTTTTTGGAGACAGTTTTTAAAAGAAGTTTAGGTTTGGCTCCCATGGGACACATCACTGTCCACTTTCCTGTAGGGAGTTTATAAGAATACTATAGGGTTTTGAAAATTCACTTTGCTATGTATTAAAGACTTGCTTTCTTATATAATCAGAAAAAATTAAGGAGCATTCTACTAGAGGTGCCCAGGGCGTAAGATATTGTTTGACACATTGGCTACCGAGTTGAAAAGGAGCCTACACATATTCAAAACTCAATTGCAAAACTGCCAATAAAGAGCATTAGACAGCAGTGATTGTTTTTATTCATGTTTTAATTTCCAGTGCCTTACTTAGTGCCTGGCATATGGTAGCTATTAAATGTTTGTTATGTTAATAATCAAAGAAGCCAATTAAGTGAGAGAAAAATTCTTCCCAGCGTGGGCAGATACTCTGAATTAAGAATGGGACTTTAAAAAATATTCATTGAGCTCTGTCCATCAAGTACCTGATGAAATTTATCAAAGGGTTTTCCTGAAGTCTCAAGGCCAGTCCTGTTTATGTTGGCATTTGTTTCGAATGTGTGCATTTTAAAAATGAAAGACTTGGAATCTATGAAAAGAAGAGAAAAACTCAGCTAACGAGCTAAAAGGATGTAAAACCCAAACCAGTATTAGTGATATCTGTTAATAGAGTGGCATGTGTGGGCCTTTCAGCAGTGCCTCTTAAGGCCGGCTGTGGGTCAGCAGGTCATCATATGTAATTTGGCTGGTGGTAAGCTTGCACTTTTTTCTCAGTAAATAGGCAGTTAAAGAGCAGGAATTGAATTCCCCTTCCTCACTGAGGCCTACCATGCTTCAGGCCGTTTGTATTCACAAGCCTGTGAGCAGCCAGCGGTCTGCTGGTTGGTGAACCTACTCAGTACAAGAGAAAACAGATGTCTGGTCTTCCTGCCAAGTCCCCTTCTTGCATTTTAGGAACCATTCCACACGCACAGGGAGGCTTTTGTTAATTTCTTTCAGATGATGACTGAGTGCCTTACACCACGAGGGACGTCCAAGTCCCGCTTTTCTACTCAAGTGAACATTAGTAGCCATTTACCCCTCTTACGGCCAATGTGGGACCTAGTTTTCTACTTGTTAAAGAAGCCATTGAACCCTTTCCATGGGTATAAAGAGGCCTGTTGGCCCCATTTTTATGTTTGGCCACCCATAATTTACAGAAGAATTGTTTCTTCAGACATAGCATTGTATGTAATAAAACAGTTATGGTTGTCACTGGTTTTAAGGAAACTAAATTACCCTCATTCAAGAACCACCCCCCACTTACTACAAGTATTATATATTTTGTTCCTATGAATGGATGGTAATTAGAATGCATGGGAACTTTGAGGGTTAGATATTTCTTTGGCCGTTGCTGCCAACTTGGAGGTTTTTGTTGTGTGTTTTTTTAATTATTGCAACTGTGTGGTCACTAAATGACATTAGTTCTAAGGGTCATCCCAAATGAAGACCCTAATTGAGTTGTTGCTATTGAAAACAAATGCATTAAAAGTGTAGAAAACATTTACTTGTGTTTAGCCTATTCTCTCTCACTGTTATTCAAAGAATGGGTTAGTAACTCAGTTTCTTTCTGGATTCTGATTTTAGCACTTACTATTTCTTTCTTCATTGGTATATTTGCAAGGTGAATCAAGACTTTAAAATATATATTTTAAAAATATTTTAATAATAGAAGCAACTCTAAAACAGATTTAGAAAGTAGTACCTACATTGTCAACCCTTTTAACAATCGTTCACATATGACAAATTCTCCTATGAAATTCTTAAATATGAGTCATTCAGAATTTTATAATTGTAACTTAAAATGAAAGCCCACAATATTTATTATATATATTTCTTAAGTAACATTTTTTATGCCATATCTTTGCCCAAGGAGTATTTTAATGCTCTTTAATTATGGGATTCCCAGCTGTATTCTGATTCTGACTAAGCATGATTCAGAAGTCTTTCTAATTAGATAGGTTTAATCGTATTACTCTGTACCTACAAAAGCTCCCCATTTTCCAGGGTGTGGCTTTCTAACTGCAATACATGGATGGTGGTTCTTCCTCCCACTCCCCCCTTACCCATCAGAGTACATGAAATTACAGAATATAAACATGGCTTACCTCCCTTTTGTATGAGTATTACTTGAAAGTATTAGGACAGAAATATTGTTTCTATATTAAAACAAACTTAAATAGTTAAGGGATAGATTGCAAAATTTACTCCCCCCACTTTTTTTTTTTTAGATAAAGCATAAGGCTTCAAGGAAATTTTGCAGTTCTTGCAAGGCTACTTTGGCCCTTGCCTACAGATTTCTCAGGATACATAGTCATTCTCCCTGCTGTTAGCATTGCTTCAGTGGACAAGTTTAAGTAGCAATGCCTGACGAAATAAAATCAAACTCCTTAGGTAGCCTTTCACAATCTGGCTTCAGCCTCGTAACTTCTGCCTGTTTCTCAAATTTCAACTCAAAGTCATGCCCTCTGCAAAGTCTTTCCTAATCTTCCCAAGATAAGTTCCCCTATCTGTCTTCCCACCGTCATTTGTACACATCTGTATCGGTATTCATTACATGTATTTTTATCTCCCCGACTTAACTGCTGGACGACAGGACTGGAGTCATAGTTAATGATGAGTCTGGGATGTGTGAGATGCACTGTCAGTGTCAATTAGCCGCATTAAGCTGCAGGGCCCCCGAATGCCCACCTTCAGACAAAACGGGCCCCATCTGTGTTGGCCAATTAAGGACCAGACTTCCACAGGAACAAATTCTGTCTTTTGCACTGCAGGAAAGTTTGGGGATTTGGGAGGTCAGAGCTCACATGAAATGGCTAATCAAGGAGCTTTGTGATTAATTGGGTGAAGTTGGTGGAGGTAGTGAGTGAAGTAGAAATGGGATTTTACCTCTCATCCCATCCGTCTCAGAAGAATTTGAAAACTTTAATACCTAAGACCATTTTACTTCTCCCAGTATTTTGAAATATTTTATCCATTACTGTCGTGCACTTATTAATAAATCACTTTCCATTTTTATACATTAAAGATACACTTTTATGTAATTATCATTAGGAGGTTTTGCTCAGCTAAAGATAATCAGTGATACCACACTGAATTGATCTCATTTCAGCTAAAAGCAAAGATGGTTGATTTTGTTTAGTCTGTGGAAGGGCGAATGAGGGTAACTATTCAGCTTGCTTTTGGACATTTGAAAAATAATTTTTTTAATTGACTTCAGAGAGAGGAAGGGACAGGGAGAGAGGATAGAAACATCAGTGATGAGAGAGAATCATCAGCCAGCTGCCTCTTGCACACCCCCTACTGGGGATCGAGCCTGCAACCCGATCTGACTGGGAATGGGTCAGCACTCAACCACTGAGCCATGTGAGCCTGGCGAGCATTTGAAAATTTTTAATATTTTCTTGGACCCAGCCACATTGACACACCCCTGAAAGTGCGGGGCACCCACGCTGGGAGCCTGCTCTATACTTTGGAACTGGCCTGGTTCCATGCCGCCATCTGTCAGAGCCAGGGCGTCATAGGGGCAGTACTTTCTGCCTGTAGTTTCTCAGACTTTGGTAACTTTAATTCTTGGGAATACTAGGGTATTTGTCGTTTGCTAGGATTCCAGATTATTTTAAATCTTACCAGAAAAACCAATGTTCACTTTTACTTGAAGATTATATAAAAGGAAAAGTTTCAAAACTTCAAGTTTCATTAGTGTTAGGATACATTTAAAAGTAGAGACTTCATACAAATTCAAACATGCATTTGCTTTACATATATTTTTAAAGCACTGTGCACTTTGGAAATTGAAAATATACTGAGTGTGCTATTTTGTTGCCTAAAGCTAAAACATCAGTGACTTTACTAATGGTGCTTATTAAAGAAATATTATAAGCTTGCATAGTTCAATATGTAAAGATACAATTGGTTAATAAGATCAAAGGAAAGCCTGGTTTAAAATTAAGCATGATTTAAAATTAAAATTAAGGCTGTCCTAATCTCACAGTTAGTTGCAAAGGTGAATTTTGACTTGGTCAGAAAATATTCCATTCGTCCTACAAGTTTATCCCCTGGTGATTTGAACACCATACTCTTGGTAACTATAACAGTTACTGGTTCTCAGAAAATTCTACTGTATATCTTTGAGTTTAGCTGATTCTATCTCAGCAAAGGAAAGATGAGTAGGAAATGACCTAATTATTGCTGCTTGAACTTTCATATGCAAATGAATCACCTGGAAATCTTGTTAAAAACACAGCTGTTGATTCTGTAGGTCTGGGGTGGGGCCTGAGGTTCTACATTTCTAAAATGCACGAAGGTAATTCTATTACTGCTGGCCCCCTGGATCACTCTTTGAGTAGCAAGGATCCAGCAAAATTCCCCTCCCCCATCTGCTCTAAAGTTTAACTTAATTCAGATTCTAAAATTTGATCTGCTTAGAGTTTTTCATTTTGTGTGGCTTTGCATTTCCTTGTTTTTATTAATTTAGGAGCTCTCCTTTTCCCTGTGGTGATCACAACTCAGAAGTAGTAAGGACTCTGCCATAGAGCAGAGGAGGGGATTTGGGGCAGAGTCCCACTGGGCTTTAGATTACTTGGTCCAGAATCCTACATGTGTCTCCAGATTGAATTATTAGCAGTAATTGCCTTCTGCGCAATAGTGTGCTTGAAATGGACTCCTAAAAATAGTAGTAGAGAAGAGGTTGGTTATTTTGGGGAACACTGCAAACAGCTGAGAGCTGTGGTTCCACGAGGGGATCCTCTCCAACTGCACTGTCCCTGCCAGCAGTTCCACTTCCAAATCTGCTAAGAAAGGCTCCGTCAGATCATGTCTGACCTGCACAGGTTGTCCAAACTTCAGGTCCTATTTTCAAGTGTCCCAGGTGACTTGGTATTCTGTAGTTCCCATGATCTTGCTTGAGCAAAGAGAGTGGCTAAGTAAAAGTAGGTGTATTAACATATCTCACCTTCTATTGGAAATTAATGGATAATCCTCTGTTCTGTTTTAGCAACAAGAACAAGATCCTACCAACCTGTATATTTCTAATTTACCATTGTCCATGGATGAGCAAGAACTTGAAAATATGCTGAAACCATTTGGACAAGTTATTTCTACAAGGATACTGCGTGATTCCAGTGGTACAAGTCGTGGCGTTGGCTTTGCTAGGTAAATATTCTTTCCTATCTTTATTATGCTGACAACATAGCTCTGCTAAGTTTCCCAGGAAATAAATATTGAGCCAGAAGAAAATTTAAACCAGAGAGCTAGTTGCACCATAAACTTAAATTATGTGTAAATGTTGGTTTGCATTTTTCCAAATCTTTTGGAAGTGCATTAATACTTTGGACACTAATATTTAGTGACTCAGGGCAAAGAAATACTACATGAGCAATAGTTCTGAAAGTATGTGACTGTAATATTTTTATTAATTCGATCAGGATGCCTATAACTTCTTCGAAATAATAATCTCTGACTCCTAAATTTTGTGCAGAAATCAGTATGATTTTCCTCATTAGATGGAAATTTGATTCATCATTAATAAAGTCAATGACATTGTTAGATTTTTAAATAAAATATTTCAAACTCTGAAAAGCAGGACAATGATAAGACATCTGTCTAACCACCAATTGTTATACCAATGGTAACATTTTACAATTTTGCTTCAGATTATTTTCTTAAGAAGTAAAATGTTGCAGATAGATCTAAAGTGCCTTCACTCCTTTCATCTTGCTTTTGTCCCTTCCTCCCTAGGAAGGCTACTTCTGTGTAGTGGTTAATTTGGTTTCTACAGGAAAAATCTTAATTAGAAGGAGCTTTGATTTGTTACATAGTTCTAATCTGAAAGCCCATGTACAAAAACTTATTTTACGTGGTGCATTATTTAGGTAACTTAATAATATTGTGCAGTAGTAACATAATGTCTCCATGTCCTAAAGTACTGATTCTGATTTTGGAGGAAAAATAGCTGACATTTTACTTTTATACACATTTACATACATTTGATGTCAGTCACATGTACAACAAAGCAAGCATTGTTTACTATTTTACAGATAAGAAAATTGAGGCAAAGGAGGGCTAGATATGATTGTCACTGGGCTGCCGAGTAATGAGGCAAGGTCTTCTGACTTTTTTAGTCTACTGTCTATTAGTCCAGATAATTTTATAATAAAACTAAAATGTTCTACAGTCGAAAGTCACCAAGGCTGGCTTCTGCAGTGTGCATTTGATTGGTTAAAAGGACCCAAGTAAAACAATGAAGAGCTCAGTGCCATCTAATACTTGTCACCTCTGTGGGTGTTCTTCTGAAAGCAGATCAAGTAGTTTTATTTCTGTATCCAAAGATGGAATCCAATTAAGTTCTACTGCTTTTTAAAACTATTATTGTCCATTAAAACCTGTGTGTAACTCTGGGTAGTCCAGGAGTGTAGCAAGTTTTGAATAGATAATTCAGTGTTTCTTCCATTAAAGAAAAATAAAGTCATAATAATTGAATTCCCCTGAAATGTTTCTCAAGTGTTTTTAGCCCCCTGCAGATGATGAAGAATAAGTTGTAAAGTTAGGCTCCATCCTTCAATTACTCCTCCGAAGCCAAGATTAAAGGGAAGGTACATAATTGACTTTAACTTAATTTTAAACTTGAAGCGAATATAAAAACCATATAAGGTTCTACATCCTCTGATTGACACTAGTTCTTACTGCAACTTTTGAGTCTTTTTTTTTGTGACTGTGTAAAAGGAAAGGCCATCTTTAAAACATTCTGGCAAACAGTAAACACATCAGCATTTTCAACTGTTTTTTGTGTTTAATTCAATATCATGACTAACAAAGCTATTGTATATAGATTGTCAGTTTTTCGGCAAGTAGATAAAAATTATACATTTGGTATGCTTATCTTAAACACGCTAGATATGATTTATTTCTTTTGTGATTCAGAATGTGCCTGTTAAGTTATTTTACTATAGAAATATACAAGCCACAGTTAGGTAAAAATAGGATAAACCCACTTCTTATTCATATTTTTGCTACGTTTCATTTGCATTCACTAAACCTGTAAAAATGTATTTACGTGGCCAGAACAAAATGAAAACTAAAAGATCTCTAAATATTTATGTATTTCATTTTTATATAAATATAGGATGGAATCAACAGAAAAGTGTGAAGCCGTTATTGGTCATTTTAACGGGAAATTCATTAAGACACCACCTGGAGTTTCTGGTATGTTATCTGAAATTTTATAAGTAGTTTTTTTTTTTATATAATACATGTATAATTTTAACACATAATGACTCTCATCAAAAAAACAAAAAAAAACACTTCATTTAGCTCTTTAAAGTTTATTTCTTTGGATCTGCAAATAGGACTTAAAAATTCACCTCTCTGCGGACATTAGTTGTGTAAATATGAATGGAAACTGACCTAGTGGTAAGGGCCTGCCTGCCTTGTAAAGCCACAAGCAGCCTCTCTTCCTTTGGTGCATAAGCCATCCTCTAATCCACCGTGTCACCATCCTCAACAGCTCTGTCGTCCAGTCACCTCATTGAGGACTGGGATGCTTTCCACCCCAGTTCCTGCCTTTGTTACCCCTCCCTCCCTCAGTGTCTGGAGCCCAGCTCCTATGGCCTGTCTGTCCACTTCCTCCCCTTGCTCGGCCTTGTGTTTTCATGACCGAGAACACGGCACCTCTGTAGCTTTTCATTCCAGCATCACGCCCTGACACCCACTGAACTTGCTCTGAAACACCAAGGGCTTTTTCCATTCACTTTCGATTGGTCCATCTTTCCCACCCCATTTGGTCTCCATTTCTGAACACCAAAACCGTTTCTTTAGCCGCATCCTCAGTTTCCTTGTACTCCATCCCTTGGCCACACCGGTCGGGCAGAAATCTGAACCTGTATTAATCCTACTGTAACCCACCTTTCCTGCTCCTGTTGCATCGGGCAGGGAAAGGCCGTCTCCAGCGTGACCAGACCCTGCACGGCACTGTCCTCCCTCGGCCTCCCCCCCTTCCCTAGAAGCCGATATTCATCC